TTCATTATCCTTGTTGAGTGTAAAACGCAGCCTAATCAGTGATGAACTTAAAAGCAGCTAGTCTGTGTAAGCGTTGCATCACAGACACGCAACATATAAATCATTTATTTATCCGAATTCACAGATTGTAACAATATAACTGATGAGATACCGAATCACTTACTCAACGTCGTACTTTAAAATTCATCCGGGAGAAATAAACAAAATTAATAATTGATTGTATCATTTCTTCATCGGGACGTTCAACTCTGGATTTCAGATAGAAATTAAGTTTACATTGTTGATTAAAATCCTTGGTTATGTAGAGTCCATTTGAATGATGTACTGTTACTCCTGATATACCTTGTATCAAGTTACCGTTAGTTGATGTATGCATACATTTAAATATCAAATTACATATTCATTATTTGAACCATCTTATAAATGAATGAAAAAATATCTATAATGAACATTTCTTTATATCCACAATGATTTCTATGAAATTGAATTAGAAATGAATAAAAAAAAAATGTAAATAAATCAAATTTATTTGAATTGCCAGAAATAATAATGATATATTTTTTTTGGAAAACATAATATTAACTCTGTTTCTACATTCTTTCAATAAAAAAAATTGTAGATTTTTGAAGTAAAACTTTACAAGTCTATAAGTCTGTGTTTCATTGAGAGTTCAAAACTGATTTAATTTTTTTAGGAATACTGTAGACTGATTAACAAAACATATCAGTTGTATATAGATGCAACCTCTTTATGAGACTGAATAACATCTAAGACAAAGTCATATTTTAAAGTCAGGCTCCGGAGGAAAAAAATTTCAGTTCTACAACATATCAAAAAAATTTTTTCCTCCGGAGCGTGACTTTAATACTAATATGTATAATACATTATTATATAAGATTTTATGCAACATTAGTACGCAGTTTCATTTATTGTGTGTAGTTCAAATAGATATTTTCTTTATTTTGTTTTATTGTCTTATTTACTTAATTTCTATATTTGTTTTAAAATCTTTGTATCTGTAATATAAATGTTTTGTGGTTTAATTAATTTCTTTTTTTCTGTCATATTTTGACTTCTTGTGGAGAGACGCCATGAGCGTTTCCCCTTAAACGGATACCGGCACTATATAAATTTTCATTATTCTTATTATTATTATATTTTTTACATTTTTATTCATTTATTATAACTTAAGTAACACATAGGAATAAATTACATGGACATCTACAGTATGTAATTCAATGGTAAAAATAGAATCAATGAATCTTTATTCTGTCTTATTGTCTTATTTATTTTATTTATATATTTGTTGTAATATCTTTACATTTGTTAACATTTTTCACTCATTTTATTTATTTATAACTTCAGTAGCACATATGAATTTCATATTAATGGGATTAAATTACATAAACACACAATTTTATATCTAACTTAATGATAAAAATAGAATCAATAAATAAATATCCGGATATAGTTAATACTCTTTTATGACCCAAAAGTATGAGGAAGTCTTTTATTCTCAAGGTAGATTTTATAGAGATATTAGGCCTACTTTTCTTATGTAATAATATTATATTCACACAAAATTTACTCAACCAAAGCGGAATTAACAAAATATGAGCTAAAGATAAGTGCGAATTACATGTACTTATTGTGCAACTGACAATAATGACAATCTTAACTTATCTTAAGTATTCTTATAGTAAATGATTTAGTTTAATTTTTGTTTGTGTCTCAGTTTAGGTAGAATTATTGTGATTGTATGAAAGGATTAGATACAAGTGGGCATGACTGCGGTTTGGAATTATACCAACTTATCAAAGTACCATATCAGCGAAGTGAATACAGTACATAGCATTTTTTTTGTTATTAATGATGAAATAAAAATGCTGTCGTTGATTAAAAACACTTGATATAAATGATATTAATGCCAATGATAGTTTATGATCTAAGAAAAAATCTGGAAAAAAAAAATTTCAATTAAAGCATCCAATTAATTATTTAAAAAAGAATCAAACAAACTTCCAATGAAATAAAAACAATGATTTACAAACATTTTACTATAAAAATTCTAACTTGACTACCAGCCAAGTTAAGGATTTCTAAAAAAATATAGAAATGTTTTAGGAAAGAACAGTTTTTTTGTCATCCTTTTCAATTGTAAAAACTAACAAGTTAATATAAATATATAAAATGCAATATAAATATTGAATTTAAATGTTAAATGTTTTAGCTCAATACAGAGAAAGTATCTAAATCATGAATCATACTACAGAGAATAATACACTGCAAATTTATATTAAAGAATTATTTACACTTATTGTCATTTGTTGAATACCATTCCCTTGCTTGCATATTGTTTCAAAAGTTGACATACAGTATCAAACTACTTAAGTACCTTTATAATTTAGAGGTGGAAGAAAATTATCATTAAAGATATTTATTCTATTTTAATTTTCATATTTATACTTCCCACATAATTAATTTTTAAAAGCTATTTATCTATTGTTAAGTGCCTATAGCTTCACCAGAAATGTTTGTTAATAAAATGTAGCAGGATTATGAATGAAATGAATGAAATGAATGAAATGAATGAAATGAATGAAATGAATGAAATGAATGAAATGAATGAAATGAATGAAATGAATGAAATGAATGAAATGAATGAAATAAATGAAATGAATGAAATGAATGAATGAAAGAAAGACTGAAATGAATGAATGTATCAATACTGAATAAACAAATGAATAAAAAAATTGAATGAATGAATAAATAAAGAAAATAATGGATGAATGAATAAATAAAATTAAATATATGAAATAAATGACCAGCTTAAAGATTAAATGAATAAATCAATCAATCAATCAATAATTGAATATACAAATGGATAAATGAACAAATGAATAAATAAATGATTTTAAATGTATTTATCAATGTAAACTTCTCTTGACAATAGCATTTGTAAATTTGGATTCAATTTATCTCTTTTCAATAGTATTTGTTACCATACCAATTCGCTTAATGCTACTAAAATGGTTGTCTGTGTTGTTACAACCAATACATTTATTTTATTTTCTAATTAGGCATTAAATTGTAAGAACGAATGTATGTATTGATTGATTTTCATACAATCCAGTACATATATTTGTACAATACTGTACCATTGCAACATCTGACAATTCACATAGGAAGTATATTCAAGAGAAATAATTATAAATAGCAATAGTAATAATATACACTTATATCAATAAAACTTAGCATATCAATGATCCATTTAATAGTTAAATGATGAATCAATTTTATATGTATGTACAAAAGGATTTATATGAATAAAATAAGTATGAATCCATATTCCTTGTTCATAATACATAAATACCAGTCAAGAAAATAAACAGCAATAATGATAATAATATGAATAATTATATCAATAAAAAAGATGATGAATTTAATAAGTAAATGGTGAATACTATTTGTATAAAAGTATGCACAAAAGGATTTAAAATAAATAATAAAAAGATGAATCCATATTTCCTGGTCATAATAAATATATACCAGTCAAGTAGAATAACTTTAAATAGCAAAAGCAAATATATGAATAGTTATATTAATAAAAAGATGATGTATTTAATAACTAAATGATGAATATATATTATTTGTATAAAGTGTGTACAAAAGGATTTCAATAAATAATACAAGTATGAATCCATAATTATTATGTCTTGTTCATACTAAATATATACCAGTCATGGAGGATAAAACAGTAATATGAAATCGGAATCGTTCCAGAATTATTAATTGTAAACACCGACTAGTTTCATCTAAAGTGCATAAAATTAGACCTATATAGGCCTTAGACAGATCTTCAATATCAATTAATTATATAGGCCTATATATATACTGTCTCTTATACACATCTAGATGTGTATAAGAGACAGGACATTAATTAAGTACTTTGAATAAATGTTTAATAATTGTAAATATTTATTAAATATTAAAAAGAAAATGATGATAACTTTATTTGAGTTGTCACTGTCAGTGCAAATTCATTTATTGGTCCGAATTGGATGATTGAAATAAATATATTTTGATACATGTGAATTAAATAATAAATTACATGCGTATTGAACATTATGATGAATGACGAATAGGATTTTTCATCAATATTAAAATATAATTTTCTCATTTTTGTCTTACCTTGCCGTCGTACAATCTTGGTATAAGATGTCAAACTGTTCTCTCGTCAAAAGCTTACATCTGTTGACACCCGGCTGTATTGCCCCTAGTCCGCGCAAAATTCTCACTTGTTCCACATTGCATACAACAGGCGTAATTTCAAGGCGTTTCAGTTTTGTATAAACTGTATGTAGTCCACCAACAAGGTGCTTAAGAAACACCTCAAAGGCCTGGGGTAAACATATCATCATTAAACCATTGATGTTAAAACTCGCAACTTTAGCCCCTCGATACTCGATGAGTTTACATTCATTATTCGCAGGATCGTTGCTAACAGGGGCTGGAGTACTGTAAGCCGTTTTCTCAAGTTTGTACAAAACGCTTGATGGTGGAATTTGAGTTGGCGGTGCGCTGACAGCCATTTCCCTTGATTCGTAAAAAAGAACTATTCAAAAAACAGAAATATAGCGATCACTTACGAGTTAGAAGTACACAATATACTCACTTTCCACCGAATCCAGCGACTGTCGCTATCAAACTGTTGGCGAGCTGGTAGAATCGTGAAGAGTGTTTTGATAGAGAGGTCATGAGGTCACTTCAACTATTATCACTCGTAGGGGTGTTACCGAAATAACGTGATAACTATTAATTGATTCGCGTCATATCGTAGAAATAATTCACCCTCCGAGAATAAAACATTTCTCAGGTGCTGGAATTACTTTAAGGCGTTAACATTTGACTAGGTTTTAAGTACAGATCGGTGATCAAACGAATACGATAGAAGCGAAAGCAAATGATGTAGGATTCCGGACTCCACAGCTCGAAGTTCCCTTCATTACACCTTGGAATCGCTCGTTGAAGTTACCATTCGCATAATTCACGCGTCAGTCAACAAAAACAAAACCAGTGTAGAAATGAAAGCAAATGAATTTCGATAAGACAGACAAATTCTAATAGGCCTACTTGTAAATAATGCACATTTATTTTATATAATAATAATACATATTTACCGAGGCCTTGACGTGTTCAGATGCCGGACCGACAGAGAAAAAAGGCTTCACTTACACGTTGTTTGTCTACAAATAATCGCAATCTTGTTGTTCCAAAATTTAGCTTTACATAAATTAAAAGATATGGTACACTAGAGAAACTACAGGTTTGCTAAATCAAAATACTGTTTCATTGATCTAAGAAGTGACATGATTATTTATACAATTATTTCGAATACATTTCTATGACTAAGTTTTGTTAGCGCATTTCCCTAAAACTATACAATGTAAGAAAAAAAAAATCTTGATGTTTGTGAGCAAAATTAATTATTGTATATCTTACGATTTTTCGTTCATCAATTGTTCAGCTAATTAATTATTTATTATCATTAAACTGATGTGACATTTCCATAAATTACCCGGCGTTCTTTTTCGGCTTACCGTATAATCCTAATGCGTTTCTGCATGCGGAAATAATAATGGTATAATTATTATATTTTCGCATTTTGGCATCAGATTAAGTCTTGTAGCCGTTGCTATTATTGCTCAGAACATAGAAGAGAAAACATTTTCTTTATCTATGCTTAAGTAGGCCTTCAGTAACACAGACTCAAAATTCTTGTGATCATGTTCGATTACATTATGGACTATTTTTCGTTACATCTATCTTTCGTTTTCAAACTACGGAAAATAAACGTTTTTGCGTATTAATTGTACCTATTACTTAGTTTTTCTCTATCTATGGTACTACTGAATTCTACATTTTACACCATCGCATTTCCTCTTGCTTAACCAGTATCTCCGAATGCCACTTTTTTATATTTGATTTTCAGAATTAATAATAATAATAAATATCAATCAATAACTTTATAAGGGGCGGAATACAATTATTCTATTAAATCATAGATAGGATAGACACCCAGTCTAAGTAGGCGAATTAAATTGGCTACGGTGTGTTTTGAGTCGATTCTTTTCTGCGGATCCATTCATCATTATTCCATCTTTCATAAACACTATATCGATATCAATCGTAATCAGCAGTTATGAAAGACAAGCATGATCTATTTTGTTGTTCTAAATACGACGCAATTAAGATACGGCACAGGACTCCGAAGAATCGAACTAATGTACAATCGAGTCAATTAAACATCGTGCCAGGCGATGATATGAAGTGTTACGTTCACTGCAATAACATGTCTCACACATTTGCGTTTACGATACTCTAAACTAAGCGCTGCGCGGTTTATTTCAACTTCATATTTAGATCAATAAAGTAGGTTAGCATCATATTATTGTGTTAAAAAGATGGCATATTGCGGCCGCAGAAACGCGCATACAGTCAAGCGATCCAAAACAAGAATATGATACTTTAATGGCCGCATTTTCCATACCAGTAAAACGGTATGTCGAATAAAATGTTATCATTAGTACGACTGCTGACTTGCATTTATCATAACCATTAAATTGAACGTCGTCAGCTACAGTATTTCTGCACTCTATCTTGACCAGATTATTTACACAGTGATCTATTGCAAACATTAATATCGAACAGAGAAATTATATATTGGAACTATTAAAGGGGAAAACAACACAAGAGATTTATGATTGTTGATTTCGTTAAAGGGGTTCATCAGCAATTATTTACAAATTCTGATGATGAAATCGGAATCGTTCCAGAATTATTAATTGTAAACACCGACTAGTTTCATCTAAAGTGCATAAAATTAGACCTATATAGGCCTTAGACAGATCTTCAATATCAATTAATTATATAGGCCTATATATATATGATATTTATGCCTACATAACATGTATATTTATCATCATCATCAAAAACAATTTGGTTTGCAAGGCTACCTGATGGTTTTTTGGATGATGATGTATGGGTAAAAAACACTCAAGCTAGTTTTTTTTTCTATATATTAATTGTCCATGTCAGCTTGGGCATCCACCTAGGTCTTCCAACTTTTTATTTATTCATTTTAAATTGAATTAAGTTTTGCCGTGGTTTTCCATTTTGGTAGTCTTTCGATATATAGCCTAAATTTATATAAATCAATATAAGCCTAAATATATAAAAAGATACACACTAATATTGCGACCAATAGCTGATATTATAGTACTTCTGACGTCTCTGTAGTAGCTAAAAAAACGAACAAACCTCACATGGATTGGCAAAAACAACTTTCTGCACGGAATTCGAATTTCTGCACGACACCCTCTATAAACGGACAATACAAGTTATTTATTCGGTCTCAATATTAATTTAAGATCACACAAGGTCCTCAGGGGGAAATGGCAACGAACGCCTAGACAGGGCGCTTCGATTAATAGATTGTACAATGAAAAATTTTAAATATCGAAATGGGAAGTATGACATTTTAATGAATCTGTTGAAGGCAGCGTGATTAACGGCCAAATGACTAGGCCTCATACAGATGATATTGTTTGAAAGTGTACTTATTAAAATGAAGTAACATTGAAACTTAACAATTGATGTCAATAAAAATATGAGAAACATCCATTTAGATTGATCACAAACCTAAAAAGTCCCTCACTAACAAAGTAGCATTAGAAATCGAATTATCTTAAACACACGTTGTCGTTGTTAATGACGTCACTGATGGTTTACACGAACGCCAATTACGTTATTTTTTTTTATTTATCTTCAGTTGTCAATAGAAAAGTAACAGAAATACTTCCCTCGGGGACTCGGTGGGTAGTTCTAGATAAACACATATCATCGTGCGGCAAACAAAATTAATGTATTTAATCTAACCGTGTTTCGAAATGGATCCGATTACATCTTTACTATTATTATGAAGTGAGACAAACGATTTTTGTGTAAGGCGTCAGTAAAAACATCTTCCATAATTTCTAGATGAATCCATTTTAGCAGTGGCTCTACAATTTCCGACAAGAGGTTCGACATGTCCGACGGAAGGGTCCGAGCCGTGGGGCCGACTAAAGCCTCGGTTGGGGTCCCGGAATAAAAAAAAATCCTGTAGGGTTCAATGGGAGAGTTTTTTTATGGTTAAGTAGGCCTAACGTCCAAATTATGAAAACGTCCAAGTTATGAAAAAATATATATATAAATGTGACGGTAATTAATTACGCGTTTATATAATTATAATTTTTAATTAAAATCCAATAACATTCTTAAGCTGGTTTTCCACTAGGCGAATTTATTCGCGCGAATCAGAGCGTCTGCTCGCTTCCTGAGATTTGATTGGTTGCGCATTTTTTTCGCTTCGCAAAAACTCCGATAGGAATGTGAATGCGCATGTGCATAGGCCGACGCTTTGGATTCGCGTGAATAAATTCGCCTAGTGGAAAACCAGCTTTAAATATACAAAGTAGCCGCCCAGGAAATAAATGGTGGATGTCATTGTTCAAATGTATTAATAGCTCAGAACGAAAGGATTTTAACATAGATCTAGGCCTAGTTTTAATGGAGACCAGTAGATTTTTTGTTTATTTGGTATATTGCATATTATTGCGTACGGTGTCTACAAAGCAAAAATTAGGCATAGACTACTGTTCATTATCACACCACATCAAACGACAATGGAAAGATAAACAAAATACTCTACTCAATTATGTATTTATTAAATCAGACGTTGAAAAAAAACCCCAATTCAAAAAAAAAAAAAAAAAAAAAAAAAAAAAAAAAAAAAAAAAAAAAAAAAAAAAAAAAAAAAAAATAGGCTACATTTTCATGTTAACCGTTATATCGTTTTGTAGCATTTAATTACATTAAGAACAAATTTTATAAGAACACCGAGGCTGAAATTTCTTAAACTATAAAAACAAACTAAGAACAAAAATTGAGGTATAATGAGGTTTTTTATTTTTAAAACTTCCGAAGTTCCATCAGGGAATGACACAAAATACTCAGTTAAACATTTGCCGAAATACATAATTTCACCCAATAATCATTTTATATCTTTAAAAAGTGTGTAAAATAAGAACAAAATAATTAAGAACATTTTGAGCCTGAAATTGCCAACAAAAAAAAAAACAAAACAAAACAAAGACAAAAAAAGACAAATACAGAGCACTAAGCCTGGGCGAAATTTTATTGGTTCTAAAGAACAAGAAGTGTATGGCATATTCAACATTTTTGGACTTACGACAGTCAGGGATGTAGTTATGGAAGGTGGAGGTGTGTGGGGGGGGGGGGAACTAAAAACATTAAAGATTTAGCAAAAAGACAACATCATATTCAATTGATTCGTATAGGCCTAGGTGGAACTGGATAATAATAATTGCGGGTACAGTATGTACCTTGTATCTATGGCGACTGAGTGGTGCCTCACCAGTCGTCAAATCGGCGATGTCGAGTGTGTGTTCGCGACAAAAGCAATTGTTTTCTGACAACGATTGTAATTTAAAATCATTAATAAAAAAAATATACTGTATGCCATCAATCGAACTCAATGCGTTATCATTATTTCTTTATAAAAACCTTCTCATTACGTTTGCGTCCATAGGCCATAATAATGGTATGTTTTTTGTAAAGTACACTTGAGAGACATTCACAAAAATACTTGTCCTGGTATAATGAAATTTAAGAATTAATTCATTT